TTCATTAGCGCCTACCTTTCCCTGTAGTCATTCTCTGCAGTGCTGGGAAGCTGCTGGGGAAGGGCACTGTGCTCCGGAGCAGCCCCACAGTACACGTCTCTCAGTACATGTTTCTCAGCAACTTAATCACCAGCTAACTCGCCAGCCTCCTACACCCCTTTGCTGTGTGACCTAGCAGGCGACTGCCAGCTCTCCTCCAAAATAAAAGCCTGTACAGCATGCAGCTGAGCTCCATGTGCCCCCCTGTGCCTGCCTGCTCACACCCCTCCCCTTCTACATTTGAGAATTTCAGCAATATGTTTATTTACAAAGCTGTTAGAAAGGGAGAAGAGCTCCTCTCGTCCATTTGTGCCTTCCACAAGGATGCACTATCAGTTAATGGTGCTCATTCAAATATCACTCAGATATTACTGCTCTCTCAGCTCCCACACAGGTGAAGAGGTATTTATTTGCTTTTTTCATGCCCTAAAAATGCTGAGTCAATGAAATCAACCTTCTATTTCACTTCACATTTCAACCTGAGAACTGTATTAATAGAGAGTAAGCCATAATGGAAATTTAATTGCACAAGGAGGTATGAATGCAAAAAAGCACAGTGCAGCATTTACAAAATATCTGTTATCCTGGACAGTTGTCCCTCCTTCCCATCTGCAATTCTGCTGCTTGGATGTCTGTTGACAAACAAACAATATTCCACCCTCAGATGCATGGCATCACTTGGCAAATGTGGGTGATTTTCCTTCATACAATAAATATCAAAATAGTTTCCAGTGACTCAGTTTTATTACCAGCAAAACACAGGAATCTAAAATAGCTCCAGTTTTCATCTATTTAATTCCAAGTTCTCAACTTCACAAACAGAATTAGTTTAGTAAATAGCATATTTGTCTCATACACCCTCCCAAATATAGTAGTTCTAATGAAAAGTAGCATTGCTCCCTCTTCATAGGTTTTTCAGTAACTGAAATTATTGCATCTTTTATTTTAGCACTGTTTTAATTAACTTGCTTACTCTTCGAGCACACACTCATGCAGTCAGCTACCAAAACTGCATCCTCCCCTCACCTTACTCTGCGCAAGTATCTGCGGGGGAGAGATCTCAGCTCCAGAATTCTGGCTTTGAGATCTCCTGCTTTGATTTCCTTCCAGCCCAAGACCACTACCACCTCCACTGTCCCTAAATCTTGCTCTTCTGAGTCAAAACTCAACATCAATAAGAAATTGCCTTCCCTGCCCACAGGAACACCACTACAGTATCTCTTCATGCACAGATATAAACACATTTCCCAAAAATTTTGTGATGTACATAAAAAAAATGAAGGTTTACATCAAAGAATATCATATTAGTCTATCACAACGATCAAAAGCATAAAAAACACCGAAACATTTCGGTCTGTGTCACTGATTCCTTTCAGCCTGTATTTTTCAATAGATAATTTATTTTATTCTTAATCTGTACTGAAACTTGATTATAAACTCTTCTGGAGTCCAAGCGTGATTCAAAGTCAACTCAAATGCATGGAAAATCTGTACAGTTTCTGTTAAGGTCCTCCCAGATAATACCAAGGAAACCCATACAGCACGAATTTCTTGGAGTGTCTGTCCAATAGCCTCTCTCTGTATCACATCCTACTAAAGATCATCAGACAATGCCACTCAAAGGCAGCAGCTGACTAGCTGGCAATTACTGGCTCTTTCATGCTGAAAATGTATTTGTCCCAGGGGAATAAGGCATCTGCATAATTAGCAAAAGCAGTTACACAGAAAATAATTAGCTTGCTGAAAGCCCAAAGGGGGAAAAACTATAATTTTTGCTTCAAGAGGCTGACTAATTATATGCCAAATAACAAAACAGAGATGCACTGAGAATAATCGAGAAATCCAGCATGGATTTTAACTTCATATTCTAGCTGTAAGGGCTGCTGGTAGCCTAGCAACAAGCAGCATACTTGGGCATGCCAAAACCTCCTCTGACTTAATGAAACACCTCAGATTACTATGCAAACCTCCCCCACCCCACTATGCATTTGATTCTTGTGTTACCAAATGATAAAAACAAAGCCTAGCCAGAAAAACAATCAAACAATTCAAGATAAACTCAAACAAGCACTAATGGACTACAGCATAGAAAGATAAGCAAAAACAAAACATTAATCTGATTAGAGTTGATTCATTAGATTTCTTCTTTGGGTTAAGAAAATGTCCTATTGTTTTAGGCAACTTTTCTAGTAGTCTAAGATTTCTGTTCATTTCTGTCTTGGGAACCACTAGATATAAAACCTTTTAACAAGTTAGAGCAACTCACTAATCTACAAAGTACTCCTGATATACAAATAGTGCTGCTGCAATTCCATCCTTTTACTTGAATTCTCAATGAACTGGTAAAGGAAATTGTATCCCAAACACTGGTTTCAGAACCAAGAGACCAGTTTTTACCGTGTTCCACCATTCTAGAAGCCACAGCTGCTGTCCCAACTGCCCAGTACGACTGTGTTGTGCAATAAGAGAGGTTAGACAAACACCTTCCAGTCTCATTGTAATTAGCACAACTCTGGTGCTCAGTTATGACTGACCTTTCAGCCAACAGCCTGCTCTTGGTTACCCAGAAGAGAAGCACATCCACACAGTAACCCATCCAACCACTCTGCCAGATTCAAAGGGTTAACAAGACTGAGCTATTTCCACCTTCCCTCAGAAAGGCAAATCTTTTGCATGTGCAATATCTACCACCATCCTCCCTGGTGACTCTTGACAACTGCTGAAAGCGTCACCTTTATTCAGAAAGTGTCAGGGACAGAAGAAACCTGACAAACTTAGCTTGTCTTTAGGTGACAATAAACTTGTGACTGCGGGTGCAGATAAGCCTTCTTTTGCTGGCTTACACAATCTCAAAAAGATAAACTGAAAGTTGCACAGAGCCGTTGACACACGAGATAGGACGAGCATGTAACGCTGTATTTGTGCTGTGCTTGGAGGGCAAGGAAGAAGCAACAAACAAGCCTATGGCACTACAGGAAACTGAACCCTCCCCTCAAACATACACAAAAGATGTTAATAAATAATGTTATCATTACTAACTTCACAAATGAGAACTACTTTAATTCTCCAACTATAGACTTTTTCATTTCTAGGGAAAATGAACAGGTTCTGGCAGAACAAGAGGAGATCCTAGGCTTTGGTCTCTTTGACCCTTAACACTACTCCACCCTCCCTTTCCCCCCAGGCTTCTTTTCTGTCTCAATGTTCATACAGGAGATTCTACTGAGGAGAAATCCTACCACAAACACAGACTCCAGGGACTGCACCCTACCATAGCACAAGCAAGGAACAGTGAGACATTAGAAGATCAGGTTAAACAGTGAAGAATACAGGAGTACTTGCGTTGCAAAGTACTGAAAGCCTGTCAAAGGAGTCAAGGACAGAAGATGGAAATCGTAAGGTCTCGGGACCTTGATGCACAAAAAGGGTAAATCTTTCACTGAAACAGTGACAAAAGGATATAAAAGAAAAAATAATTTTCAATGAAAAGTATAAGATCTGATACACACCATCAAGATCTCATACACAGATCACAAGTCTGCCTCCTAGAAACACCAAACTACAGCAATCTACATAGTACAATGATGCATCAAATTTCTTTTCTTTTTTTTTTTTAAAGCCCCTTCTATTCAACTGCTAGCAAGACAAAAATTCCACCTTAGCCTAGCCAAGTGGAAAGCAAGAAAGTTGAATCAGCAGTAAATCTGTTTCAGTCTGAGTAAAGGTTTCAGAGAAATCACCTGGAGGTTGGGAATCTAAACAAGTTTGGTAAGGGATTATTTACTTTCCCTCCAACCCGCTAAAAAAGAACAAGGACATTTGTTTCTCAGCTGCACTTTTTCACCCAGTAAGCCTCATCCACCAGTACGGACAGAACTCTCCCATATTATGAAAAAGCACAATTTTAACCCATTCCATGACAGAGGAACCGGTCTTCATCATTCGCAAGCATACAAGATAATACACCACATTTCTGAATAATCCAAACTATAACTTCAAGATTTTCAAATCAGTTATTTTTATTGTTTCTGCAAGGATGAATTTTACTGTGTTGTAAAATGCTTATGGCAAGAAGAAAGGTGCCCAGAAGTGAAAAAGGTATTTTTTCCTATGTAAAAGAGAAAACACCTCTCTGCTCTCCTGACTTCCAAGAGCATGGTGGGAATGACTGGACATCATCTCCCCTGCTCCTGGCCTTGCAGAGGATGTGAGCTGAATAGGAACCCACAGTGCTGAGCTCAGGTTCTTCATCTACTCTTCTCAACTATCAGCAGAAAGATGTATTTCCTTACCAAGAATTCACACAAAAATCTACTATTAAAACTACTTCCTAGCTCATAATCTTATCTGTTAACACAGTAATAAACACTTGCTATTACAGTAAGCAAAATACTAGTCCCAGACAAGACAGATAGAATTAAGGCTCTGATAAGGGTCTCTGGCTGTCAGTCCTGAACATACAAAATATGCAAATTTCGTGTCCTGGTTTGGGACAGATTTGGGAGGAACCCTGGGACACTCAGGAACTGCAAAATACAAACAACATGAGCTTTAAACAGAACACTGCTGCATTATTGTGTACACTCTTCATGCCTTTTAGGGAATTAAACTGAAAATGCAATTCTTCATGAAATTACTCTTTAATTTACCTTATGAACAATTTACATGCACGTGGATTTGAGAACAGAAGATATATTTCTCTAATGTCACTCAAGAAAAAGAAGACAGCTATAGCACCTTCTCTTCTCAAAACTTAGGCTTCCTTCTCCTACTGATACTACAAAAAGACAGCAGACAAACTAAACATCTATTTTATTTGTTGCAAAAGCACTGTGTGTATTTCTGAACAATCACCATACTTGGTTCTCCTAACAGAGTGCTTGTTGAATATCCATTTGAATGCCTCACAAATTGAAAATTTCTAAAAGCACCAAAAAGAGAATACAAGTACTTCTACTCACCCACTGAAGTCTGGACCATGTTTCCAGATTTTTGGACCTCATCGAATTTCGTAAAAATTACATTCAACCTGTTTGAAAGTTAAAGAAATACACGATGAACAAGTGAATTTAAATTTTAGGAATATTAGAATCATAAAATCACTAAGATTGGAGAAGACCTCTAAGACCATCGAGTTCAACTTTCAACCCAGCACCACCCTCTTTACCATTACACCATGTCCTTAAATCCACATGGCTTTTGAACACTTCCAGGGATGCTGATTGCACCACTTCCCTGGGCAGCCAAATTCTAACATCTTAGGATGTTTTAGAACAGATTTGGCTCCACTCAGGTCATTGGGAGGACTGTCAAAAATGTCAGCAGGAAATTTCTCAATGCAAGGAAGTTATTTGAAGATTTAAAAAACCAACATCAACACACAACAGCTGAAAGGAAAAGCTGAGATATAATTGAAAATACTAAATTACTGAAGATGTGATACGGCTAATTGCAGATGCACTTCCAGTTCATAACCATTTTGTCTATCTTAACTATTTGCAGAAATACAACAAAATTAACACAATATTTGTCTTTAGCCCTGACACCTTCCCATTTATGTCACAGATTTAGCAGAGCAGAAGATCTCTATCACATCTCATCATTCCTTCCCAGTGAGTTTATTACTTTAAGGCAAATTGTGGGAGCAGATGTTTCCACTGGAGAACAAGAGGCAACACTGCTGCCTCCACCTGCATGTAAACTCTAAAACCACCTCTTCCCTCTGAGCACTGACAAGTTGCCATCTACCCCATCCTCAGGTCTAACCAAGCTCTGCCCTGAGCACTGGAGGCAAGATGCAGAGCAGCTTTCTAACACACCTGAAACAGCAGAACCAGAGAGACATGGCTTTGGTTTTGACATAGGTTTGGTTGCTTTTTGGGGGGAGGGGGGCAGGGCAGGGAGGCTGCTTTTTTTAAAGTAAAATCTTAGAATTGATTTTTTTTTTTTTGGTGGGGGTTTTTGTTGCTTATGACAGTCTAAGTTGTGTAAACACAAGCTACTCTGAAGTGTCTCCACTCCATGCATGCAGAACATACAGGAAAAATATTAATTCCCTTATATCAGTTAACTAACCATATGCAATAATTTTTGTGGTTTTCCAAAGATGCTGTGGCATACTTGGGCAAAGATACAGGATCTGCTTTAAGTAAATCTAAGTGTTTATCAGATTAAAAAATAAAAAATAAAAAATAAAACAATGATCCTGGTAAAAGGTTCAATCATGAGGTTCCTGAAGTCTTCTGAATAAAAAGGAGCCCAAAAATAGTGAAGACCTAAGGACATTCTCAGCTTACCGAGACTGGGGTAATCCTTTTTTACTGAGATCAGCCCTTACACGTTCACCAACATGTCTGTAAATTTCCACAAGGCTGTTTATTGCTGCATCTCGAACCTGGATGTGAGAGATGAGAGAAATCAATCATCTTTACAATTTAAATTAATAAATCCCTAATAAGCCCTACCTTAGAGAACTAAATTTGCATATTTCTCGGCAACAACAGTTGCCACTATACACATTACCCACAGCTCATGAAGGAGCTTCCAGCCCTGCTTTTCACATATTAACAGTATCAGCAGGTAATTGAATTGAAAAGGTGGTGAAGGTGTAAGATGAAAGGTTTCGTGCAGAAGGAGCTTGTCTGCCTTTGCCAAACTCCGCCCATGGCATACAATGGGTACATTTACTGGATGAAAAAAGGATAGAGACACAAACAGACCTTATATTACTGGGATATTATAAAATAAACTGATTTTTAATGCTGTCTTAGAAACTTAGGTTTTTATGTTGATAGCAAAACAGGGAGGAAGGGAGGAGTAATCAATCACCTGAGTCATCATGAATTTTGCATATTTTCCAAACTGATTTGCAAGAAATTGCTGAGCACATCCTTCCCTCCAGCCAACAGAATAGACATAAATCTGATTAAAGTGTCACCTTTCTGTACTTAAACCCTTCCTCTGCTAGACACAGCAGGCAGAGGAGATAAACAAACTATCTGCTCTGCCTACAGAGACACCTACAGAGCTCTGCACTTCTGCTTCTCAGAAGATGCCCCAGCAGCTACCCCCACACACAACCCAGGACTAGACATGGAATATCCTGACGACACAAGCTAGAATTGCCTATAGGTGGGAGTCAAAGAGCAGGCACACATACTCTGCCTCCTAGCCAAAGAAAGGAAACCTCAACACCTGACTTGCACCCACCTCACCGCGTTCTCCTGCTCTGCAGCCCTCCCGCTCAGCGGGTCACAGTGCCAGCTTCCAAAGCCCTCCTCCACTCATGCCAGCCCTTACTCAGCACTCCTGCCTCTTGTCTCCTGCCCATCAGCTCCATTTGCTACAAACACTGCAGGGCACCACAGTCTGTGGGGACTTTGGTGTCCCCAGTTTGTGAGTACACAGCCACTCTGTGCAGAGCAAGGATTGTCTCCTTGCGTACCATTAAGCAGAGGCACAGCTGCAGGACGGCGTAAATCCCAAGGAGCAAGGCAAAGAGTCCCCACCACCGTACCTGGTTTAGTCTATTACAGCAATAAAAAAGCTTCAGTAATTTTATGTTTGATAAAATGATCAAAGTACTGCTGTCACACCAGATGCACACTCAGTTACTCAATCGCATCAGTTGAAAACAACAGAAGCACTATTTCTGTAAAGGGCTCTAATGGAACAGCTTCCACATCCACAGCAAAATAAAAAAAACTGGACTTGACCTGGAACTGTTTCTCGAGCCTCTCTCCAAGAGAGGGCAGCAGTGACCGAGCCCAGCAAGCCTCCCAGCAAGCAGGAGGCACCAGCAGCAGCTCCAGGGACCAGCCCCTGCCCCAGGGCCACTGTCACACCGATTTTTGTCTGACCAATTCAGGCACAGGCTTTCTGGGGATGAGGAAGCAGAGCCAGGAGAAAGGGAAAGAGATCAGTCTTGTTTCTGTCTCCAGATGGACAAAAGACATACAGGACAATGAGCTGTGCCAGGCAGAAAGAAGAGGCAGCACAGAGGGAAAACGTCTCAGTGCCCTCACCAACTTTCCAATTCATTCAAAAGCTCACAGGACCAAGGCATCTGTGTATTTAACAAGTCCAAGCCCTAAATCCAGGATTTCCTTGGAGAGTAACAGGTTCTTTAGTCCTAGCTCAGAACTACAGAGGACCCTAAACATTTAATTTCTTAGAGTAATGGGTTTACCATCCTGCACTGGCACAAGCAGCAAAGGAAGGCTGCTTCACTCTCACCACGCCTCTTAGCAAGGGGAGGCCCTGACAGCCACAGAAATATTGCCAACTCCCCAGAGCAAACATAAACCCATTCTCCAGCTGGACACCCCATACCTCCTTCTAGCTGAACACCATTCTCCAGACCTGGATCACAGATGTGTCACCCATGCTGGCAGAACAACCAAGAACATTACTCAAAAACTGCTAGTACACATTACACAATGAGTTTGAACACTTCTCCATCTCCCTCTTCTCATTAACCCCACATACTTGTATCTAATTCCAAACAAGACAAAAAGCACTAAGGAGCAACAGATTTTATTCCAGTTGTATTTTCATTTGGGTTGCATTGCTGATTAAAGGTCCTGGTACAGATTGTCTTCACCCCCTATTCAGAAACTGCCTGTACAGCTGCTGGCTGTACACATGGCCAGGCTGCCTGACTGGCTCCATTTGCCCTCCGTGCCCAGACTGGTTTCTCTCTGAATGTGAGGGGTGCTGCACTAGGCCCAGAGGGATCCCTGCAGCCTCCCTCGTATTCAGGCTTCAAGGCACAGGAGTTCCCTTCCCACAAAGGTTTCCCTCTTCTGCTCATCTCACCTGCAGATTCATGTTATTCTGCTGAACCCTTGGAGTAACTGATATGCTGGTTTGGACAGACTTCAAATTATACCTCTCCAAAACCAGCCAAGGGTTCCGTGTGCACAGCATTGCTCAGAGCTCACCACCAGCAGCACAATTAGCTTATTTACCAACAAGACAATCAGCACAACCTTTAGACGTGACTCACAGCAAAAGCTCACCTGGCTGTTTGGATCTCCAAGTAAGTTACATATATGTGGCACTATCTTACTCAGTGTTAAACTCTGAGCTCCAGATCTGGGAATAAAGAACAAAAAGGACCATTATGAATCACAGAGCAGGCTCATGTACACAGCACAGGTTTGCAGAAGGTTCTGACTTACGCATTGAGTGTTGCAATAAGGCAGAGGCAAATCCCTTCTCTTGTCCGAAAATTCTTGTGTTTGAATCCTCCTAGCATCCTATCCCACACATACTACACAAGACAGGAAAGAGAAAAAATGAGATGGGATAAGAAACAGATTCTATCTTCCAGCAGACATACACCATACAAACTCTGGAGATCAAATATAAGCTATACACCTATCCAAGCAGAACAGGACAAAAAGGAGCAAGATACTTTTACATCTAATTCTTTGTTTTGTGCTGACTTCACAGTAACTCCCCCCTACCTAAAATAATAACAACAATAGCCATACTTGAAGAAAGCAAGTACCTTCCAAAAACCTGGATCAATAACTCTTGACATATACCCATCCCATCTTTGGGAAATCCACTGACATGCTCTCATCCCATGTGTATCCTGTCAGGCAATAGCCTTCCCAAGTGAAGAAAATCTTATAACAAGGTGTAGAGAGATGAAGTAATTTCAGACAGAAAAATGGCAGTAAAAAGGTGACACTTTCTTACACTGAAAAGGTTTTGTTTTTTCTAAACAGCTAGTCACTCATGCTGTGGAGAACTGCTGAACATACCTGAGGGTTAGCAGCCTGTTCCATGATTTTCAGCAGCAAGGTCTGATCCTGCTCCCTCACTGAGTCCTTAGAATCTCCCAGCCTATCAAGTAAACTTGGCAGCACTAAGGAAAGAAAACAGGAACATTCAAATCCCTCAGGAAAAAACTCTAACAAGTGGCAGAGCCCCTCTACTCTACCCTTCCAAAGCCCAATGGGGGCACCAGCCCTGCTGCCCTCCAGCAGAGACTGAAAACCACCAAGAGACTCCCAAGTGCTCTCCTGAGGAGAAAGACATCTCTGAGTCCAGCAGCCAGTGCAGGTGCTGGTAGTGATGGTCACACAGAGACCCCTCACCTGTGCCAATCTGGGCCTTGAAGCGATCTTGCAAGCGGGACACAAGTGCGGAGATGATGTCAATCCCCAGGAGAACCACCTGCAAGCACAGAACAAGCAAGGAATTAAGAGTGAACTGCAAATGTGATTGCTGCTCAGTGCTAAATTCATATGTATAGATGTGCAAGGTGCACAAACTATGTGCATAAACCATTTCAGTATTTGCTGTAACTAGCACCTCTAATTAATTGCAATTATTATAATTATTATTAGAAAATGATATGCACTAAAAATTGCTTCATTATTTACTGGCAGAAATTAAACCAAACATTTTTATGACGTAACTGGAATTCAAAGAAAGACACCTAGTTTGAGAGAGGCTTCATAACAGGCTGCAAATTGGAAAACCTGCTCTGATTAACTCTGCTTACCAGAAAAACGTACATACTTTTCCTGGTAAGCATACATACATAGTACTGTGTAGCCTACATGCGAAACACTTTGCAAAAACCCTTAGATCATGGTCACGCTGGCATGAGGCATTTCTCCATACACTTCTGGATAAGCACTGAGGTTAATCATGCCTGGAAGTGTTAGGGACAGCCAGGCTCCTGAGGTGGTGCCACCAGGGCTGTTCCAACATAGCCCAGCTCCCCATACCACACACAAGTGTACGTATATACGCATATATAGGCATATCAATGCTCCCTCTACATACACACAAGTGTACATACATACACTAACAACCAGGGCAGCAGTCATGGCCCCAAGCCTGCGAGAGCTCAAGGAGTGTTTGGACAAGGCTCTCAGACACATATGGGATTGATGGGGCTGTCCTGTGCAAGAGCCAGGAATTACAGTTGATGATCCTGGTGAGTCACTTCCAGCTCAGGATATTCTATGATACCGTCGAACGTATATTTACACTCCCTGTACCTTCACACAAGTGTGTCTGTATACATACACATAGCTTTACTCACTGTACACACAGTCCCTGCAGACACACACCCGCGTGTGCACGCACGGGAAGCACAGCTAGCCCTGCACACACCCGTGTGTGCACGCACGGGGAGCACAGCTAGCCCTGCACACACCCGTGTGTGCACGCACGGGGAGCACAGCTAGCCCTGCACACACCCGTGTGTGCATGCACGGGGAGCACAGCTAGCCCTGCACACACCCGTGTGTGCACGCACGGGAAGCACAGCGTTCTCTGCGTGCTCTCCGGGGCCCTGTCGGGGCCGTGCTCGGCAGTGCCGCGGCCGCTCGGCAGAGGGCGCGCTCCGTCTCCGCTGCCGCCGCGCGGCGGCCCCGCCCTCTATGCAAATCAGGGCCCAGCTGCCGCGGAGCACTCTGGGTAACGCCGCCGCCGAAGGGCCAAAACCCGGGTGGGAGCCACCCAGGGGAGCCGGGCCCCGCGCGGTGCGCGCCCCCGAGCCGGGAGTCGGTCATCGGGCGGGCTGGGGGCGCGCCGCCCCTCGCCGGAACCTGGGCGAGGTTCGCGCTCCCCTACGGGCGGCGCGCCCCAGCGGCCGCCAACCGTCCTTATCTGGGGGTTGCGCGGCTGCTCAATGAGCGCATGGCGAGAGCAGCCCTGCTAACGCCTTAAACAACACAACAGCGCCCGCTCCGTGCGCGGCGCAATTTTTGGAACCTCGCACCGCAGCGTGTGCGCGGCGCGTCCTCAACAACACTCGCCCCGAGCCCGACCGGGCAGTCCACGGCGCCGTGCGACCCGTGCGGTGCCGCGACCTCTTGGCACCGCTCCTGCCGCCTCCCGGCACCGCCGCCCGACACCGCTCCCACTTCTCCCTTCCCCCTCCATCGACAGCGCTGCTCCCAACAGAGCCCGTGCGGGGCCGCTCTGCGCTGAACCCCCACCGCACCGGCGGTCACTCCACAACCCTCAGCCTGTCACACGGATTCACTCCAAATTCTGCTCCGTAGCACTCAGGGTGGTGTACTACGTGATGTGGTCGGAGAAACAGCCTACTGCTCCATGCCAAGTCTCTTGTGAAAAAAACCTTCCTACATACAAGCCCGTGGATCCTAACTTCTCCCAACATACAACTTCACCTCCAAAGAGCTCCTTCAGTCTTCTCCCCTCACAGTAACACACCCTTCAAATACTGTCAATTTTTAATTCAACATCATTTATTCATTCATACACCGAAGGAGAATTTTCCTCGTGCTTTTATTAAGCTGTGTTTCTTTTTCACATTCATCTCGCACACTGAATTTAATCTACCATTGACAAATGCTCAGCCAGCTGCCCCAAGCACTATCGCTGCCTGTATCTGACAGCTCACTGGGAGCCTCTCGGCTGGAGTCCGGCAGCAGAGTCCCAGCAAGAGGGTGGGCTCCAGATCCTCATCAGCGGAGAGATGCTTTTAGGGAGTCAATGGGACTCTGAGCGCCAGCCACCATTCACAGCTGTCTGGTCAGAGTCCCATCACGGCAGCATCCTGCACAGAGATAAGTGTGCTGCCTGCAATTACAGAGATGTGCCCCAGGGATAAATTCGATCCCGGGAGAGGAAGGAATCCATCTCTTCTTCAAACTGCCCGCAAGCCAGGAAGAGTGAGGGGAACTCATCACTCAAACATGAAAGGAAACACACGCACAGTGCAAACATACCCTGCAGTTCACCCCCAGGATAAGGCCAGGAGGAAGAGGTAGGTCTTGCACGACTTTTTGCTGCTGTCCTTACAAAAATGAGGAGTTAATTAGCACAATGATTACAGTGGTGCTTGGACAGCTATTGAGGAAACAGCAAAATGGGGTGAGCAGATGTTATTCCCGACTGTGCTGGATCCATTTATCAACCCCAATGTGACACCTGCCTCAGGAGGTCAGAGGCAGAAAGCAGAAATCATGTATGGATTGACAGAGTCAACAGATCCACTACAGACAGATAACAGACAACCGAGGGCATGGTTGGCAAACGAACAAAGAATAAATTGAATTCCAGCCCTGGCTGCATTGGACTGCCTGCACTGAAGAGCCAACCCCTTCACTGCTGGAACAGTTACTGAAATAACTGTGCCTGAAATAACAGACACCAAGGTCCAGGAGGAACCTCGGGAGCAGCGATGGCCCCCCCAGTGCTGGATCCTGATGCAGGCCTCTCCCCAGGGAAGTCAGCGGCGGGCACAGCTCCACACCAAGGCACAGGAAGGGCAGCTCTCCATCCAAAATTCCAGATAATGCTGCAATGCTGCTAAGTAGAGAGCTATTCCAGGCCTTTATATCAGCACAGATCTTTTAGACTCCTATCTACACAGGCCCCCAAAAGAGTGATCTCGCAATCAAAGTGTGGCAGCCCTCAGCATGAGGGTCTGCCTCTGCTCATTTGACTCCTGAGGTTCCCCAAGGCGGTCAGTAAAGTACTGGTTCCACCCAGTAGTCAGCTCATTTGGCATCTGCTGCTGCTTTGTCTTGTCTCAGAGCACTTTCAGTAGGCGCCAAGGGCTGTCAACAAACCCTTCTCCTGCCCCCCTCCAACTTCCAGGTCATCTCTCCCAGTAGACTGTTAGTCCCCAGGATGCAACACAGCCTTTCCCAATACAGACAATACATTTTTTCAGAGGTCAACAAAAACAACTCAAAGCATCTGTCCTTTAATATCTGGGTGGTGTTGAGAGACTTGCAGGCAGCCCCCCATATCAGAGAGCAGACCACCATCATCTGCTCTAGGAGTACACGGTCACCAAGCATGGCAGACAAATCCATCCAGTTTTAAGTAAGACACACCTAAACACTCCCATAAAAGGGCAAAGAAGCTCACAATCCAGCAACAGCTGATTGAGCACAAAGCGACCAGAGTGAATCAGCCTCAGGCTACCCTGACGGCCTGGACAAACTGAGGGGGGGAAGAGAGACAAGCCCTTCTCTCCACTCATCACACCATGGCTCAGCAGGGATGTGGTGGTGGCTGCAGGAACCTTCATCCCCCATCTTTGCAGGGAAGAAGGAGTGAGCTGAGCATCCCTACCAAGCTGCTGCACTCTGCTGGCCTCCTGCTGAACCTTCCATGCCTGGCAGCTTGGGACCTAAATGGGAATGCTGGAGAGAGCTTCTAAAGCAGCTGTGACACCAGCTTGCTTCATGCTGCTTCAACATGCTGATTGCCACCACTGGTGACACAGCTTAGCTATTTCACTTTGAAATCTGAGAAGGTTTTTTTTGAGAACATGGTCATCCTGACATGCAGACATCTGCTTGCAGAAGAGCTGACAAGTATGTCCCAGGTGAAAGAGCTGGACCAAGTCAGCCCTGCTCCCTACCCTGCCCTCTGCTCAGGGAAAGTTCCAAAGAACAAAACACCCTGTTTTGCAGATTCTGAACTGGTCCTTGAGTGGTTGCGTAAGATGAGAAGAAAAGCAACCACTCGGCTATCTCCAAAGGAGATGGAGGGAAGCACAAGTTGCAGAGTCACTGCTGTAGAGTACAGGAGGCTTTTCTACCCCGAGCAAGGTCAAAGCTCCAGACAGCATAGCAGGTAAATCACCACTGACACAAACTACAGTCTGCTAAGGCTCCAGAAGCAGCAGTCATGGTAATGAGCAGACATGAGGCTTTGCAGTTGAAAGCAGAGTTGGAACTTACTTCACGCTTTCACATCTCAATTATCCAAACACTGCTGGAAAAACAGCAGCAGCACCATTGTTTCAGAAAGGTGGTTCTGCTTATGCAGCACCTCACAGCTATGGGTACCTGCCTGGCAGCCCTCAATGCTTAGTGTCTTCACATGAAATGACATCAAAACAAAACATCTGCACTACCAACTGCTACTGCCTTTGGTTCCTCACCACAGAGCAGCTAAGTAGTTTAATCATGAGCACTGCCACTATTCCTACATTTCCACTGCCCCCAGTTGAATATTTGCACTTACAGCCAGGTCCTCAGCCAGGAAGGAAAAATTATTCTAACTCTGTGAGCACTGATGAGATCTTGCCCTAGGATCAGCTTGGGATCAGGACTACTATTCCTTGTAGCTTTGGTAACTAGTTGCATCTCAGAGCTCAAGGCATAATGAAGCCTCTACAATGAGGGCTATTACAGAAAAGCAAAAAGAGTATGGCAAGGAAAATAAAAGGG